GAACTTTTCTCTTTTCGGACCTTGTCGTCTTCTATTTTGACTCTCTCTCTCTCTCTCTCTCTCTCTCTCTTTCTCTTTCTCTCTCTCTCCTCTCGAATGATGATGCGTCTGAATGATTGTCCCGCTCTTAAATAGAAATGACTCGGCATTCTGTGTGAAAGAACTTCTTCTGGAACTCTTCCATTAGTTTCCTGGGTAATCCTCCTACACAAGGACCCTGTCTTTTTTGTCTTGTGAATGGTGGATGCGTGTGTATTGAGTAATGCGATTCATTTTTTTCCTGTGCATGTCTCATTTTTGCACCTTCCACAGTAAATGCATGTATGGAATGTGTGACTCTTTTGTTGATTAGACGATTGTCGTAAGGATTTTGTTCGAGAATGCAAGAGTGTTTAGATATTTAGCTGTGTTTCCACTGCGCAGTCATCTGCCTTATGCTGCACGACATCAGCAGCCGAGTCACGAGGCGGCCCTGAGAAACAAGGCGCCCAGGGACCAACGTTGTGTTGAACTCATCGGACCCGTAGCCATATGCGTGATCAAATTGATCGGTGTTTGCTCTCTCTCTCTTGTGTCTCAGGATATGGGGGACGCGCGGATCACTTTTGTTCTTAATGATGTCTCAGGATATTTTGTGATTGATTGACATGTGGACTGACAAGTACCCTTCGATTGGGCGCCAGCCTCCCGTATCTCACATCCCAACAAGACCTTTTCCTTACAGTGAGGAAAGGACGCGTGTATGTGAGTGGGACGTACGAGAAGCCGTTGCACAAATCGGCGAGCAGTATTACTTCCCTCCGGCCAACCGCTGTTCTGGGTTCGTAGAAGCCGGGTTTGTTATTATTACTCGGTATTGTTGCCATTTAACGAGTTGATCGTCATTCCGTGGACGGCAGTAAAACCCCACTGGCCGCGCACTTTGTGCACCGAATGTCAGCGTTTTGAGCGCTACGAGTCCACGGGTTTCCACTACCGTGTGCGGAGTGAAGACGAGCATAAAGAAAGAGCCACGCGACTGAGACCCTCCACGTTAGACTTGGAACTAACCAGCGAACGACGACGAGACTTGATACGAAAACGGGACACACGAAGCGTGCCCAAGCCTTTCTGTTCTAAACGACGGGATGTAGCCCGGTGGGAGGCACGACAATGCTTTTTGGATTGAATTTGGATCTTTCCCTCTCTTCCCGCCTTGCCCACGCGCGCATTCCGCGACGCGCGAAAACGATCGACTTGCTCCATCGGACCAACACGGGAGATTTCAGTTTCGTCTGTGTCCCCACACTCAATTTCCAAAAATCCTTGGCACACCCCATCTTGCTGTTTTTCTGGGCCTCTTTTCCGCACAGCTAACACTCCGAACGGAAGACATCACAGGGCGTGAGGTTGCGCGTCACACCCTTTTGGTCACACGGGTGGACTCTGTCCAGACAGAGAGGATAGAGTCGTGACCCACCCAGTTGGACACCAAGCCAAGTGCACTTAGTCACACAGCACCCCATCCCCCCAAAAAAAAAGGTTTCCTTTTTTTTCTCAATTCTGAATAACAAGTGGGTTGTCTTCTTCATTCACAAATTTTTACAATTTCTTTGGGAAATGGAAAAGTCCAAAAGAGAATTTGAGACTACCTCTTGAGGTGGTGGTCTCAAACAGGGTACTCCCGCGGCCTCGCAGGCAGGTGACATTTAGTTCACGAAAAAGTACAAAAGGTAACTTGGAGAACCCAGTGTGACTGGAAATCGACCTCAAATTTTGGGAATTTAGGTTATCAGGTCCTTGTGTAAGTATGGCCTAAGACTAGTGGAGCGAGACCCTATGCCAGGGCTGTAAGCCAACCTGGGTAATGCTCTCAGTGCATCCTGGTAGATTGTGAAGTCCCTGGCCTCAAGTTTTTATTATTTTTATTATTATTATTATTATTATGATTATTATGATTATTATGATTATTATGATTATTATTATTTTATTATTATATTATTGTATTATTATATTATTATTATTTTATTATTTTATTATTATTATTGTTATCAGGGTAACCAGCGTTCGGGACGGGCCGAACACCCGAACCCGAACGCCCCGAACGTATGGGACCCCTTGGGG